AGAAAAAGTAAAAATTAATAACCTGAGAAGACCTAAATAATCTAAACCGACCGAAATTCAATGAATCGACATGCTAGGAATCCAGGGAAATCTTCTTATTATCTTAAGACGTTTTGTGCAGTTTGGCACCACCCCTCGAAATTTAGCCTGAAAATGGTGATTTTCCTCAAACTTTGTGAGTGTTTTTTGGCTTAATTTATGGACTATCCAGGTTTTTTTTCGCTGAAATAGCTATTTTGAAGTGATACCTGAAACAGCATATAAAAATAGCCAAAAACCTGGACTTGTACTTTGTACTATGAATTTAAGTCTGAAAAATAAAAGTGTAGGTACAATAAGGGAGAATTTCGAACTTCCTGCAGAAAGTATTTCCTAGTATGAATGCAACCCTAACAGAACATCTGTTGTTAAAACAGCAGTAGCAGCCATTCAGATTAAAGGGTGTTGATAATGTGCTTTCATTCTTTGCTTTTAATTTGTCTGGTCAAGTGATATCAAATCAGTACATTAGGGTGGACGAGTTGTTATCAGTAAGCGCTTATATAGAATTACGAACAACGAACAACTCATAAACTGGTGAAACTTTGCAATCGCCAAAACCCGTGAATTTTCAACGACATTGTCCACATAGTTGCATTTCATTGCACGAGCATTCATATATTTACGGCAATCATACGACAACATTGAAAGATCCCAAGTGTGGAACGCAAGTATCAGTTACTTTATCTTTAATTCTTGTTTTGTTGGTTTTTATGTCTCATTGGGCTTTTAACAAATATTATCAAGGTTGTTAGCGCCACATTTGTATTCGTATTATTTATGCAACCAGCCTTGCTCTTCTTCGTCTTTTCTCACTTGCTTTTTCTTCACTTGATATTCATTGATGTTTCATATTCTGCGTTCTTTGCCTCCATATTGGAGCAGTGTACAAAACCTTGCAATATAACATTATCAACACATTTCAAGCAAACCACAGTGTTTATATTACCCTACATACAGTCCACTATTTAAAGCGTATCTCCACCCCCAAACAGCATTTTTGCATTTAAAAAAGGGTGAGTAGGCGCAACAAAGGTATTTAGAAAATTTTCGTTTACTTTTGTATGGTTAATTTTACATGAAATTGTGAGATTTGTTATTCTGTTATTATCTGTTATTTTGTTTTGGTTTTTCTTCACGTTCGGCTGTGCATAATTCAATATAGATTTGGTGTTCACAAAAAATGATTTTCTTGTTTTGTTTCACTGTCACTTCTTGGCTCACTTTAAATCAGAGCCTAGATATTGAGAGCGAGACATCGGTGTTTTTCATGCAAATTTGCATAATGGCATTTTCTGATACGCTCTTCTCAGATGAAAATATTAGGGCGACATTATGCAACTTCCGGTTATACCAGAAGTTATTTCAAACTTCCGTATTTTAAATGGAACACCCTGTATAATGTTTTTGCTGTGTTCCTTTCTTTATTTCCAATAAGTTTTATGAACAGTTTTTTACCGCTACTCTATCAGTTTCTGAGCAAAATTGAGTTTTTCTCAAAATTTTTAGTAGCCGCGTTAAAATTGAATATCTTTTCAAAGATGAAAAAGTGAAACTCAAAATGTCAGTTGCAAAATTGGATATTATTATGCTCAATAATGAATTATCCGAAAAAGAAATCTAGATCTAGACTTTGCTATATGCAAAGTGGAAAAATAACAATTTTTATTCTCTGTAAGAAAACTGGAAACACTTTATTATTTTGAATACGATGGGTGGTAGTTGCATAAGTTTGTGGAATTTATATAAAATAAAATAAAACAAAATAATTGGAATTCTGGGAGCCATTGGCAACATTGCGAAGACGTGCCAAATTATTCACTTTTTGAATGTGCTCAAAACTATCCTTTCTTTTTTTCTAGTGAGTTTTTTTTTGCTCAAATTCAGCTTCAATTTTCAACAGTTTTTTAAATTTCGTCAATTTTTAGTTTTTTTTTCTAAAAGCTATACTTGTCAAAACGATATTTTTCAAAATTTTTTGTTTGCTTTTTTTTCCTTAAACGGGTTTTGAACGATTTTTGATGAAAAATGGATTTGAGTTTCATGGAATTTTGTTTTAGTAAGAATTTTTCGCGAATTTCTCGTGACACTGGCCTCAGGTGGAAAAATTCAACAAAAGCAACGTAATATCAATGTTGGCATTGTTAACAACTCCAAATCAAAATTAATTCCTGGGTTTCAGTCATTAATTGTTTCTATTTATCATGCTAAGGCTTAAAGCAGCAACAACGCTACACATAAAAACTGATGATGGTGGAAAAATACACCGAAACGTACTTTAATTTATAAATAGAAACAATAAATTACTGAAACCCAGGAATTAATTTTGATTTGGAATTGAAACACAGTCAGGAAAGTATGTACAGATTGTTAACAACAAAATTACAGGGCATTTGAGGTCTAAAACTCGAATAAGCTGTGTTAAAAGTGCTCGGTATATAATAGCTCACTTCTTGACCTAGGTATACATATAATATACTATTACAAGTCCAGAAGCATCTCAAGAACCTCAAAGGTGAGAGTCTATAAAAGCAGGATAAGATCAATTATTGCTTATGGATGCGAGACAATGAATGAGTGAGGCTAATGAAGTTCCAGTGCGTAAGATGGTACGGGCATGTCCATAGACTGACGAGACTGACATGGGAGGAGTCAGAAGAGACCGTCGGGAAAAAAGCCACTTGGGAGACCACGATAGAGACGGAAAGACAACATCACAGCAGATCTCACAAAAATGAATACCCCTCTGAACACGAATCTTTGGGAGGACCTGGAGGTCTGGAGAAACATAGTGCTGTCAGCCAAGACCCACCTTGAGTTGTAGAGCTACCTTGTATGTATGTATGTTGAGTTTTTGACATTTTCTTCGGCGTTATTTCCAGATACAGTGGAGTTATTTGCAAATTGACTACGTGTAATCAGCTCTCGTTATAACACGTTAAATACAGAGCCGATTGTTCACAGCTAGTCCCTATCACAAAGTAAATAATCAACGGGTGTAATCACTGATATTGACTTACATATGTTGCTTAACAAACATATAAGATGGATTGGTTTATCTTTTAATACCTATTGGTTAGCACAAACAAACTTCCATATAAAATCAAATACCACTCAAGCAAATACGATCGGCGATAAGACAGACCGGAGTTGCGTTGTCGTCTCCACTACAGGATGTTTTCCTTTGCTTCTTCAAACAACAATAATCTCGCGAACAATTTTCAAACGTAAAACCGATACAAACTTTAAATTAACTCATTAATTTCAATTTCGGGAGAATGGATTAAGTCGGCTTAATCGAAACAACATTCCGGCACATTAGACTTTCTAATGGAGTTTGATAGTTTGGGAAAGTTGGCAGAGAGTTGCTGCCTCTCGAGGGCCCCTGCATCGAATTTGCCCAACTTATTTGAGCAATTCCATTAGTTTGAATGCCGTTTTGCCTGCATGTAACATTAACCAGGACATACTTGGTATACAGGTAGTTGACAGTTTTTGGAAAACTCTGGTTCGAATGAAGGCGTAAATCAGAAGGGGACCAGTACCACTTCTACTGACGCTTTAATAAAAAATAACGCAATCAGGGCGTCATATACATGGCGTTTTAGAGAAACAAAGTTTTTTCATTTTTGGGATATTTAGAAAAAAGTGATTTTTTCGATTTTCGTTTTTATTCTTTCTGTTATATCAAAAAATTAAAAAAATACTTTCTCATAGCACCTATTCGAGCTCCTTAATATGGCCCCCTCATAGGATGTTTTCATTGTATCAAAAATTCCTACAAACTGAACATTAATCTATGGTAATATATATATGTGAAAGATTAAATAAGTTTATACTATCTATCTATTGCTATTTTGTTAAATATTTAATCAACAAATTCAGCTAAAACTCAAATTATTCATGAATCTCTAAAACGCAATCCTATTGGTTGTGACGTATCTGGTCATATAAATGGCGGATTGTTTACGTTCTGTGCATAGTGTTTAGTTGTATGGTTGTGTTTCATTAATTGGTGTATTCAAATAATTTATAGTTTGTGTTAAACTAAAAAATGCTTTCAGAAGGATTCCTTAAAGCGTCAACAAACAATTTACCATGTGTACATATTTTTATCGTTACTGAATTTTTAAAAAACGACGAACGCATTAATTCAGCCGAATTTAAGGGTGTCAAAGCAGCAGCGTAAGTAAAAATCCGTAAATTCATTATCAGTTACTCTCTCCTTAATATACTAATCTGTTTGTATTGGTTTAAATTAGGTAAATAATATATAGAATTTCACTTATTCAACTTAACCTAACTTATACACATGGCTGCTTTAAAAGTAAAATGCACTCTTCAATTTGTATTTTGGGCATCACGAGAACAATATGGTGATATCGGATATGTGGAATTGAAACGCAAGAGTTCTTTGCGTACTGTACAAGGTAAAATTTGCCCAGAACACAAAGTACGATCGAAGGCATATTCTATCTGCCTCATGATTAGCTTTTTGTTCGTACTTTCATTAAAATGATCCTCGCCATAAAAAAAACATTGATTTTGATTTAGGAACATCACGTCCAGCTTCTTTGAACCATAAAACTTTACGTGCATAATCATGGGGAACAGTTAGAAAGAGTTTGTTTGGAGCACGTTTGCCTGTATTTTACAGTAAAACGATTGAAAAAGCGCGGTTTTTCTGTTTAGAGAAAGTGTTGTTTAGAAATATTGACCTAGAAGTGAAGAAACCCCAGTTTCCAGAAGTTTTCCAAATAAATGATTCTCAACTTTCGCTTTTTCAGTTCGGGAAATATTTTTAGAAAAAGACCCACAAATAATTATTAAGGGTTTGTTTGTCCATAATTCAAAGCTGCAAAAAAATGTCTGCAAAGCGGCTGAGGTGGCGAGTGTTCCAATAATATTAATCTTATAATTTTTTACAGAAAATACCTGAAGATTGTCAGTATTTTCGCGAAAAAATGTATTTTCGACCACTTTTCACTCACTAAAAGTCACTGTTTTTTCCATAAAATGACGAGTCCCTGAGGTTTTCGGCGTCTATCACACCGATTTAACGGCGACGTACAAAAATTTCGCGCATTTGCCAACTATACATTTTGTTAGAATCAATTTTTTTTACACCCATTGTATTTGGTTCAGTTTCTATTATTTTTAAAGTGAACGTTACCTTTGGACAGTATTGATTAATTGCCAGTTTTTTAAATAACGTATTTTCTTAATATTCCACTACAAAATGGAAAATTCGGCAATCGGTTTAAAAATGTTATAAAGTACTGATTTTTGCCCGTGCAGTTTGGGCGTGGTTAGGAGTGCTTACAAAGTGAACGAAGACTGTGTAACCTGTTTTGTATGGGCAAAAATAAGCAAAAAATTGAGAAAAACGGCATTTCCCCAAGAAATACCACTTACTGAATATGTCGAGAATTGCTGCAACCGATTGTTTCCATTCCAAATACTCATTTTTTCCGATTTTTCATTATCAGTTCAACCAAATTCTTTTCAGTTCTTATATTCTGGGAAGCGTCGCCAGTGAAATGTTGACAGTTTTCGAAGAAAAGTTTAAATTTCACGGAAAGTATTATGGTGGGTTTATACACGAGAATAAGGAATAACGCTTAACGATTAAGACGTGTTTATAAACCGAATAGTAGCTAACCCTTAAGGAATAAGGCTTTAAAAAGTTGGCATCTTTTATCTTATGCGTTAGGCGTTATTCTAACGAGGCATGCGCATTAAAACATACATTTCGCTGTGAGGTTAAAAAACGAAATTATTAATCCGAAAAGAATTACCACTTCTTCAGTGGACAAATCCATTTTAATGTACAATATTTATGTGAAATAAGCTTTTATTGGTATGCTACCGCGATAATGTTGACCATAAACAGACACAACCCTATTGTTTCTTACGCCTATGCTTCGATTTGATTGGCTGTACATAAAATAATATTGTTCCTTACTCTGTTTTATAAACACCCCATTAGGCGTTATTCCTTAAGCCTTATCCTTATTCTCGTGTAAAAACCCACCATGAAACGGTGTCTACAGAAATTCAAAAATTATTTAAGAGTGCGCTGGTACAGGCGGCGCCATCTTTACACATACAGCTCAAATACACCAGAGTCTTCGTTTAACAAGGAGAAATCAGTACGATTTGATTTCTGGTGCAAATGGCCAGTATCTATGATATACATTATAGATACAAGATGCTTATATATCTATGTTGACAACGCTAACGCCGATGTTCAAATTTAATTAAACTGGTATTTTTGGACCTTGTTTCCGTTAGGAGCAGTCTAACCTATTAAACGATTTGTAATTGTTAAAATTCCCCACTTAACACTGCCGCCGGTTTGGGCTGTCGATAATAACAGATAATAAACAGTTCTTACATTGTAGTTTTTCTTATTTCAAACACTTTTTGTTGGACACATTTTTTAAAAATACGATTTTCGATTGGAATCACAATGATTTGTCTATGAAGGTATGGCTGTCAAGAGGACAAGATAAGGCATTTCTGCTTGTGATGTTGCCACGTTTCTATCTATGTTTTTCGACGATAGGTCTATTTTGTAGTGTTTGTGTTTTCCGTTAGTTTTGTTTAATTCAAATTGGCAAGGAAAATACCCGGATTCGATTCATTCAATAGTTTTGATTCGTTTATACAACTTTACAATGCCCGGCAGTGCAAGTCTAGTGGATGCACTGTTGTTAGATGTGGGAATTGTGATGTCAGTGGTTGGGAATTTGCTTCTATTTTATAAAACACCGAGGCTAAGTTTCAAAACGCGAGTTTTTCTGTTAAATTATGTGTTTTTGCGACGATTTGCTTTTTTTGCTGATTTTGCTAGGTGGAGGCTTGGCATCGTTGGTTTCAACTGTTGATTTCGTTGTTGGTCGCGTCCAATGCGCAGTGAGTAGCAAAAACGGCTGTCATTTTTGTGCGGCAAAAGGCCCTAATCCATAGAGTAAATAAAATAATTTACTTACTCTGCCCTCATCTTCACAAACTTGTCTTTATCTATGTTCTACATAGTAGTACAAACTGTACTACCGTGTACTTTTTTATTACCTTGAGCCAAAAGCGGAAGAAAAGTGCCAGATCTTAACAAGTACCACTGTAAGTACTCTTTTATATGATCGCGAGCCAAAAGTGGTAGAGCAAGAAGCCCCTGATCTTCACAATCACCATAATATTCGTAGATAAGAAGAAAGAATAACCAGTAATTTTCATCCGCTAAAGATAAGCAATGGCTAGCAGTGCAGGTGCTGATAGTGGCAGTGGGTGCAGTGTTGTTCGATGTGCGAATTGTGAAGTCGCTGATGCGGAATTTATTTTAATCCTAAAAAACAACGAGTCTCTTCTAGACTTTTTCTACAGACACAACGTTCTATCGTGTCATGCTCGTTGTAGTTGCGGGGCTCAGATGACCCCCAAAGGTAGATTGGGTCGCAAATTGAATTTTCGCTGCCAGAAGATGAATCCCACAACAGGTAGGAAATGCAACACAAGTTACAGTTTGCATAAGGGAAGTTTTTTTGATCATTCACGACTCTCCCTGCAACAAGCGGCTCATGTTGTGTTACTGTACATAAACCGGCCGCCTCCTCGGTGTCGCTATATTGCTAGGGAAGTCAATTTGTCGATTCCAACCTTGATTGATTGGTTCTCCTTTATTAGGGAAGTTTTTATTTTCTGGGTTCATCAGCACTGTTCACAGCTCGGTGGTCCCGGTGAAGTTGTTGAATTTGTTGAGGCAAGAGGGAGCAAGAGGAAGTATAATAAAGGTCGTATCATGGATGACCACTACATTATTGGGGGAATCCAAAGAAGTACTGAACAGTTTTTTGTTGTTACTGTTGAAAGCCTATCTTCTGCCACTCTTCTCCATATTATTCAAGATAATATTCTGCCAGGAACCACTATTATTAGTGATTGTTGGAGAACTTATGATTGTCTTGGTGAGAAGGGTTTCCAACATCTCATAGTTCATCATTCCTACAATTTCACAAATCTAGACACAGGTGCTCAAGCTCAAAATGTTGAGCAAAAATGGGTTAAAGTGGAGAAACTGATTCCTAGGTTTGGCCGGAAAAAGAACGAGCAGTATTTTGGCAATTTGGCTGAAGCTTTGTTTAAGTTGCATTTTCCAGATCACACGCAACGACTTCACCATTTTTGGGCCACTGTAGCCCAGATGTATCCTCCATTTGCCCATTTTTAATTATTTTTCTTTCAGCAGCAGTCCGTTTCTCCTTTTTAATTTTCATCTGTCTGTAACCTGTGCAAATTTCTGTTCATTAACCCGTTTCAGATTTTATTAGTTGCATTTCCTTGTAATTACGTTGTGCCTTTCCAAATAAACGCCGTTTGCTCGATTTTCTACCCCCAACTTTTTAAATATTTTCAAAACTTCCTTTTCATCTTTGTGACGTTGCTTTTTCTCACTTTGATATGCACTGCAGTGCTTCTGCCACGTGCACCGCTCTGTTTTGTGCTGTTGCAATGCAGTTACCCACATTTGGTAAGTTTTTACTAGTAAGTTGAGACGGGAAACTTCGTGAGAAAAATGTGTCTTGTGAGATGAAGCTGCCCGCGAAATTTTGAAATACTTAATCTACTCGTGTAGTCAATGGGTCTCATCAATACAACGTAGTAAATGTTTTTCCTTCAAATTCTTAACGCAAAACCTTCAAAGTTTATGCTAAAAAACTATCAACCACTTGCTACAACCGAAGGAAAATTATTTGCTGCATCGTAACACAAGGGCTTCAGATTATATGCATAAAGTCATGCTTTTGATGGTACTTATAACAAAAGCTTCATTTTTCTGAAGGTACCTCCGTGCAGACTGCGCGTCCGAGGAAGCGACACACGGGCAGTAATTATGATGTTCCTTAATAATCTAAGAGCCATAAAAGGTTACAACAGGCTCCTAGAAACACCACCAAATGATTTTAGACACCTTTTTCCTTTCAACGAGAAAAACCTGCGATTGTTAGCCCCCATTTCTTTGGTGAGGAAAATGAGAGACGACGTGGTACATTATCACCGTTTCAGGAAATGAGTGAATGTTTTTGCCGTAGGATATCTCCCTCCGATCCGGGCTACCAAAACAGTATAGGGGGAATAATAAAAGTACTGTTATCACTCTTGCAGTTCAAAAGGCAGTTGGCCAATGAACTAATAGGAGACTTTATTCAAAGAAAAAAAAACCTGACCTGTTCCAAACACTTCAAGGAATATTGGTGATCATCTTCCAATCAAAGGTGATTCATCGGAGATTTGTTCTTTGTTCATCAAAAAGAAAGAAGCAAACTCGTTGAAATATTATCTGCAAGGCCTGTGACGTTGCCCTTTGCAAAGACTGTTTGGCCCCATACCATGTGAACTCATATTAATTTTGTTACTTGATTTGGAAATTGTGGATGTTTTTTTGTAAAAAAGTAAATGGTAGCTATATTTACCGCTGCGCAAATGAGTTTTATTATATCTGATAACGACCGGTTGTACTTATATTTACCACCTTTTAGAACCCCTTTTTGCAATATTTTCAATTTTTCAAAAATTTTCTGTAGACTTACAGTCCCCAGTTTGTCATAAAATCCAACCTAAATCATACATAACGTGGAAAAAAGTTTTCTCGGTTAAAGTGTAAATACAAATTTGTAACTTTGTAAATTGTCTAGCTAATCACGTATTAATATACAGGCACTTCCATTTGAAAAACGAAAAGTTATACCTATTGCGTTAAAAAGTTTTAGATTTAAGTCCACATTGTTACCACCCTGTACAATATTGTACATTGTATTGATATTTTGACATGATCATCGATCCTATAACATCGATGTTGACATAGAAAGGTAATATCGATGTGATGATAGTTTGCCGTTGCATATAAATTAACTTAAACTGAAATAATTATATTTTACTACTACGATGACATTAAATAATCGACTAAATTTATTCAATTTATAGTTGCCACATATTTCGGTCAACTGACTGCAAAAAGAGGTTTTTTTCGGGTGCTGTTGGAAATCGGCGGCTATGTCGCGATATCGTTTGTAGCGGCACTATCAAAGAGTTCGCAGAAAATGTTTCTATCTAGTATCAACATCAAATGTTCGATGTTTTCATTTCAGGATCTAACATCGATGGTAAAAATATCGAACATCGAACGAATTACATCTATGTATCTCCCATCCCTAATCTGTGGTGATTGGAAAGACGTATTTTTTTGTATCTTTAACTGCTTTTTTTGTTTCTACAATGAATTTTTAGATACCATGTTTTTAAGCAAAATTTTATTAAAATGGCGATAATCTCAATAACCAACGTCGCAAGTAATAAAAAAAACAATTTACGGTGCATATGCAGCGTTTCAAGCTGCATTCCATGAGCTAATGAAAACGGGTAGTTATTACTATTTAAAAAAATACACTTTGATGTTGCCTCGCCTTCCTGAGACACTCTGTATCATATAAAATGTTTGCACTTTGTGCGTCAACAACTTTTAAATGAAACTATTTTTCGAAAATTGAACACCAACGGAAATAATGGACTCTCGCACTAAAAATCCACCCTGTAGAGCCCTGTTTAATGACTCTGGATAATGAATGTTTAATTTAACGTTGCTTTACCTTTAACGAAGCAAATTCTTTTCTAGTTTTTTCTTTTACTTTGTACTTCGAGCAAATGCTCCATTTTCATTCATGAGACCCAATGTGGACTCACTAATGGACCCAATGGACTCCACTAATACATTTTGTATATAATTATCAAGCATAAATACTAATAAAAATTATCGTTTGGTCAGTGTAAGTGTTAATTTAAATACAATAGTGCAAAGATCATTTAAATTAATTTCCCGTTCTCAATCAAGTGTACCATATTCTGAAACAAAATACACACTACTATCACTAGTTTTGAACTGTTAATAATTAAATTTAAATTATAACAATTTAGAGAATAAAAAGGACAGACATACTGCCATCTAGCAGGTTGCCTAAATTCCCGCTTCAAACCGATTAAATGAGGCACTAATCCCCGATGTGGGACACCCACGAAGCAAGAACGCACGTACGCTCTCAAAATATCTATTCTAAACCCCGCAAGATAAGACAAACTGCGAAGATAAGCCACGTTGATTACTATCAGTCGATAACGATCAAATCGTCTTTCTTTGTCTATTGTTCGGCGACCCAATCCCTTGGGGCGATTTATCTCGTTTTGTAGCATTGATTGGATTGTGAATACTCGTCTTTATCTATGTTGTGAATTTCCAGTTCTTCATGTTGACCAGTGTAACGAAACTGACGTTTCATGACCAACAACAAGAATATTGAGGTTAGAGAAGTGTCCAATTCTATGTGTTTTCTTTAAACAAATCAAAATATTGCCATTATTCAAGCATTCTAAAGATACCTGCACTCAAAGCACCATTTCAGATCAATCGACTGTTCTTGTTTTTGCCTCAAATACTGCTTTTTTCCACTGGCAAACTGGTAATTGTTGATTTTTAGTCTGTGATGGACCTGCACACCAAGCAGAGGCAATTCTCCGGGCAACTTTACAAGTACACAAATGTGGTGAAAGGCTGGCAGTATCGCTATTTTTTGGTAGACGCAAATGGGGGCCTGCTGCACTATTACCTGTGTGAGGGCGAGAAGCCCGAGGGCTCGGTGCCAAGGGCTTCTTTACATCTAGCTGGAGCTGTGATTTGCCCCAGGTAGGTCAAAGACAACTGGACATCACCTCTGTTGTTTTTGGCAATCAATTGGACATATATTTATCTTCCAGTGAAGAAGATTCAAGGACATTCACAGTGAACTGTGCTTCTGGTGATATGTTGAAGCTGAGGGCTGTCGATGCAAAGGCGAGACAGGAGTGGGTAAATGGGTTGAGAGCAGTGGCTGAGTCCCACACAAAGGTACCAGTTTTTTTCACTTTTTTACTATACACCAAAATAGGTCTACTGACCTTATATTCTTACATGCCCATATAATACAAAACAAAGACACTTTTCGTTAAGATTTATCGTTAGGCGTCTAAAGCTCGGTTAAAAGCAATCTGCATTAGTTAAGCACAATTGGTTGTTCCTAATTTTGCAATGTATATGGCCATGACACCGAAACGCAAGCTGCAACAGTCCAATAAGAGTAAGAGCAAACCGATAACTAACAGAAACAGAAATGGAAATTTTTGCGCCAGTAAACACTGATCTAAATATAGACCTATTTATATTATTGTCTAATAAATGCTTATCTCAGTCTATTTTCTATACCTGGGGTCGCAACCAAATAATTTAGTTTTGTGAGGCTGTTGATGCCAATCTCACCAATTATTTCTAGCTACCCTGACGGTCTCCCATTTTTAGCCAAGGAGCGAACGATCTATTTTTTACTCGTTTCAACTTTACCCATTATTTACTTGCTTCCTCACATGTTATTGTGGGTTTATTTTCCACAGCATTCACAATGTGGATAAATTAAAACCGATCTTTTAAATCGCTGGAACCAGCTATACTTCGGGTTCTTTTCTGGACATATTGTTGAATGGACCGAAGGAAATCATGTTATTACTTTGAATACTTTGATTATTTCTGGTCTAAACGGCGAATTTCTTTTTTTCACCCAGCAAATCACACAACTTTCCTTAGTTCAATAGTTAACGGTCGTCGACATACGGGCATCCAACTTACATTTTTATTGTATATACTTTCCTGACTGTGTTTCAATTCCAAATCAAAATTTATTCCTGTGTTTCAGTCATTTATTGTCTTTAATTATCAATTAAAATACGTTTCGGTGTATTTTTCCACCATCATCAGTTTTTCTAAAATAACATATTAAAAAAAAA